TCAACTAACAGCATAAACTCAGTGGAATCCCCACAAGAATCACCAGACACAAATGATAATCACAGTACAGGTTCACCAGTCATTTATGCAAGAGATCTTCATCTTTGCTGCTAAAAAAAAAAAAAAAAAGGGCTATGACTCAGTTTGAGAAGGCTTCCTTAATGATATCATGCTTTTAACATCCAAAAAACTGACAGAGAAGTCAGGCAGATAGAGATCAAATATCATCTTTATTGCTGAAAAGCGACTGGTGAATTTAGATTAGGTATGGGGGCCAAATGGCCTTGCTAGCAATTTTCGCCCTCTCCTCTCCAGTCTAGACTTTGAGACAGCATGCTCAAGAGAAAGTCTAGCTGGAATAACTGCCTCACTGGTCTGGGCAGAGAAGAGACTGATTCCTATGGCTTACAGCTTTTTAATTGATTAGCTCTCCCCAATCAAGCAAAACAGATGAAAGGCAATCACCCTCCAACAAGGTCACTTCTCCACGGAAAGACGTAGAGATGTGTCGAGAGACAGCAGTATTTCTTCAGGGAAGTCCCTATCCCAGATATAGGGTGAGTGGTCAGTGATTGTCTTTCCCCTACACAGGCTACTAATCTGTAAATTTACATATTCTGTATATTTGAAAGAACTTCAAGGGTTTATTGATTTTGATTAAAAAATTAAAATCCAACATTTTGTAAGCACATGGCACTTAATAGCTTTTCTTCTATTAACCAAGTTGTAGCATTCATTTGAATGTAAGAATACAGTTCTAAAAAAAAAATCATAGGAGAAAGCAGCACATTTTCTTGCTCTATTAACAAACAGGACTCTGTAATGGCTGACTGGCACCAGGAAGACTACTCTGACTTCGTCAGAAAACACTGCAAAATCTAAACTGACTTAGCTTGTCACAATTTCAATTCACGGATTTTTAAAAATGAGTATTTATTGTTGTCTTGAATACTGTACAAAGTATAAGGAAAGTCATTCCCCAGTAGACAATGAAAAAAATGCAGAATTACCACTGACTCCACAAGACACGTGTCCAAGGAGCATGAGCTTTTAGAAGACCTAGAATGTAAGCTACTAATGAAAGATATTTCAGTAACATATCTTTTTTTCCTACACTCTAATCTTCCACCCTATCTCCTCAAAAAGATGCCAAATCTAAATTGGAATGTCTTGTGAACAATTAAAGACTTTCTAAAAGTAAGCTGAACCTCCCATATGTCACCTCTATACAACCCTTCTTAAAGACTTCTAGAATCTCTTCTAAAGCTTCTAGGACAGATTTGAAATCTAGGAACACATGGAAAGGGATTCCTTTGCTGTATGAGAGCTATAAAGGACCATATATAAATATAACCTATTGAGTAAAAACTCGTAGCAGAGAATAGAAACGTTTTAGTTTTAGTTACCATGTTTATATTTTATCACTCAATAAAAATTTAAGTGTCTACTATGTTTCTAACTATAAAGTAAATAAAGAAGATACTATTTGTCCTAAAAATGAGGCAACTAAATTGCCCAAAGACCTGAGTCAGAAAGTGGCCTGGTGCAAGTTCTTAAAGTCATCAATTATTCCAATTATAGAGTTTAGGGAATGACTGAGCTAAGTATCTTAGACCTGAGTGACAGGGGATAAAACAGATGCCACGTTCAGTCACTATCATCTCTGGTTTCTAGTCTGGGGTATAAATATCTCAAAAGCACTTTGTGTATTAATTGTGTCTGATTCTTCCCTTTCCTTCTCTCCTGAACCCAGTCTAATCAGATTAATCTCACTGCTCCACCGAAATAACTCTTGATGAGGCAGCCAATGACCTCCATTGTTAGGTTCAACAGCCAGTTTTCAGAACTCATCTTATTTGAATTATCATCATTTAACCCAGCTGATCACTTTCTCCTCTTTCAAATACTTCCTCACGTGACTTAAAAGAGCCCATCTTAGTTTGCCTCTTTTTTCACTGGCTGTTCCTTTTCCCTCCCCATTGCTGGTTCCTCCTCATCTGCCTGACTCTTAAAGTTTGGAAACTCCAAAGTTTAGCTCCCAGACCTTTTCTTTTTTTACATTCACTCTCCTGATGAACTTACCCAGTTTTGTGGCTTCAAATTGCCGTCTTAAGTGCCAGGGAATGCCAAATTTTTATCTACAGTCCAAATATTTCTTCTTGTAACTCTAGAGTTATATAACCAACTGCTTATATGCCAGTTCCACCTGAATGTTAAACAGACACCACAAATTTGGCATGACTCAAACCAAACTCTTGATTTTTCCTCAACCAATCCTGCTTCTATTCCAGGCTTCTCCATCTTAGTAAATGGCAACTGCAACTACACAAGTATTTATTCAATTACTGAGGCCAAAGCGTTAAAATTATCCTCAACCTTTTTCCCCCTATCCCCCATTCAAACAATCAGTAAAATCCTGCCAGCTCTATGTTCCTATTAAATCCAGAATCTGACCACTTTGCATGACTCAGGTGCAATCTACATTCTACAAAATTACCCCTCTAAATAGCTAATGACGTACATACAAACAATTCATGGAATAAAGTGATCATTTTGAAACTAAGTAAAAATCTCGTACCTTTTCTGTTCAACGCCCCCCCTCCAAGACACCCAACTTACTTATAAGTATTAGCCAAAGTCTTTATAATGTCTCACAAAGCCCGACAAGATCATCCCCTGACCCCCATGACTTTGATCTCATCTCCCATCACTGTCCTCGTTCACCCCGCTCCAGCCATGCTGGCTGCCTTGCTATTTCTCAAACACTAAGCAAGCTCCTGCCACAAGGCCTTTGCACTCACAGTCTGCATTCCTTGAATGTTCCTCCCTCACTTACCGACATGGCTCACCCCCTTCCCTCAGAGGTCTTTGACCAACTGACATTTACTTGTTTGGTTGTTACTATCTGTTTCTCCCTACTAAAATGTGAGTTATATACCGGCCAACTCCCAGTGCTTAAAATATAGTATGCACCCAATAAATCTCTGTTGAATGAATGACAACAAAACTGATGAGTATGAGAGCCAGGTCACCACTCTGAGTAACCTACCTACTTTGTCCTGGTTCCCACATTTGGCTAGTCACTGAAAGATTAGTTGGCTCTGGCCTGAAATTACACATTAAGGACTTAGGCAGTATTTGTCTCTACCAAGTTGCTGGTCCTGTGACCCTCTTCCGAGAAAGCTAAGATTGTGTAAAGAACTTATTCCAATCAATTTCTCTGCTTAGGTAGAATAAAATTTCTTCTGGCATTCGTTTCAATTTCAACAAAGCTGGGTAAAGAAACACAGATTAAAACAATTTTCTGGATCCTTCTTTAAAATTTTACCTCTACATAGAATCTTCTCGATTATCTAAGCTTTTTTTATTTTCCCATCTTTGCCCATATAGTTAAATATTCTGGTTATTCACGCTGTTTAATTTATTCTGCAAATTAAATTGCATGAAATTATAAATGAAAATTGTATGACAGTTCACATGCAAGCTAGATTACATAATCTAAAATTTAAACTAGTGCTATTAAGTTTCTGTATTCTCTTAAAGGAGGTTAATTTTCCATGAATAACTGGAAAGCATCTTCAAGATCTTTAGACAGGTTATGTATAAGACACCCTCTATCTTCAGAATTGTCAATCATGATAAATTCTAACAAATATTATCAATATTAAAGGCATTCTTAAACCCTTTGGAGTTTTCACACATGATTTTCACACATGTTGCATCATTTACCTGGTAATGAGATATATTTGTTTCTATGAGCAAGGAGTGGCACCAGGTGAAGATAATGAATACAGACTGTTAATACATAATTGTTTGCACCTAAGAATTCAAATGTGAATGCTTATACTTCAATAACTTACAAAAATGAAATTCGTTAAAATCATGACGCCACAGCAACAGCAATTTTACATTTAATTATATTTAGCTGAAAAGTAAATTTCCCTTTAGTGTTATGCTCAAAGTGTTTACACTCATGGGGGGAAATGTACATTTCATATCCAGTCATGTGAGGTGTGCCTCGAATGACAATTGTTGGTAAATCTTAATTTTTTTTTTTACTCCATAACTATTCAAAGCGTTTTATTTTATGAAGGGCTCGTGAGAAATTCCAAGACTTTCACCCCATAATCTCTAAATCAGTGAAATGCCATCTTCTGCCTGGCAGAAGAATACAGAGACTGGATATCTTCCCTCACTCACCATTCCCAAGGTAGAAATACAGAGCAACCAACTTTACAGGTTAAAGTTTCAAGCTAAAAAAGGAAAGGAAACGAAAGGAAAAAAGACGACGATCCTGCGCTACTGGTTGGGCTTCTCTTCTTGTAGCACCCAAGTGCCTCTACTGCCCAGGAAACTTAATGGTTCCTTGTATGAGTTCCAGGACCAACACGGCAGAAGCTTCAAATTCCTCCAGATTTCTAAACGGTAATACGAACCCCTATCCGATAGGCGAAATAGATTTCAAAGTACAGCGCGAGAAAAACTTCTGCAACACAGACGCCGACCAAAGTGCATTCCTATCTTCCCGGAAAGGCAGAGGAAAGAGGCAGCTAAAATAACCATAAGGTTTAGGTGTAACTGGGAAGGTGAAAATTTAGAGACAGGACTACTGTTTCCCACACACCACTCCTCCTTCTTCCTCCAGTACAACTGGGTGGAAGGCTATTCCCCTAGAACGGCAGAGGAAAGACAGGGCATCACCACCCCAGGCTGGTGGCATGGTCCAGCCTGGCACTGAGACCCCCACCTGAGAAGGGGAGCAGGGCGGAGAGGACGCAGGGAAGGAGGACAATTCCTTCTGAGGCTGAGGGGACGAGGAGACCGCGGCGAGGACCGGGCCGACGAGCGCAGCCGGGGCCCAGGATGGCCACGTCGGGGCCGCAGTGCCCGCTGCCCCGCAAGAACCCGGGCCAAGCCCGCCCCGCCCCCTCCTTCCCGTCCGGAGCCGCACGTATCTGCCCCGAGGCGCCGCCCTCCGGCGGGCCGGCGGCCAGGCTTACCTGCTGCACCCCGAGGAACTGGTAGAAGTTGAGCTGCACCTCCTCCACCAAGTCGAACAACTCCAGGTCGCCGCTCTCCCAGCCGCGCGCCGGCCCCGCGGCCGCCAGCAACAGCAGTAACAGCAGCAGCGGCGGCGGGAACTGCACGAGCCCGAGCCCGCGGCGCCGGGGAAGCCGAGCCCGCCCGGAGCCGGGAGCCGTCATCGCGCCGGGCTCCGAAAGGTCACCCGCCACGCTGTGCCGTCGGCCGACACCGGGGACGTGGCGGACAGCGCGGGCTGTGGGAACAGTGCCCGGCAGTCAGGAGCACGGGCGGCAGCAGCAGCAGAGTCGCCCTCCCGGCGGCCCTTACCGGAGGCGGAGCAGCAGCAGCGGCGGCGGGCGGACGCGGCCGGCTCTCTCTCTCTCTCTCTCTCTCCCGCTCGCGCGGACCCTCACCCCCAGGCCTACAAACAGCTGGAGAGCCAGCGCCGGGCGCTGAGGTTGCGGAGGGGGCAGGTTTCCCCTCGCTTTAGCCTATCCCAGGCCCCGCTTCCGGTGACATCACAGGTCTCCTAGCAACCGCAGGGGAGAGGGCGGGGCCGGAAGTGGGGAAGCCGGGCGCCCCAGATCTGGGCCTCCGAGAAAAGCCTGTCAGTGGCTGGTGAGCACCTAGAAGCTGAACGTGTGTTTCCACAGATTAAGAGATACGGACATCACGCATTTACCGGGAACATGCCAAGTATAAATGTCCCCTGAAACAGCTACCTTCTTACCCTCCCCCAGATACTGAAAACCAAAAGCATAGCCGAAAGCGATTTTAATGATTATGGACTCTGTGCCACCCATTTCATTATTCCATCAGCAAAAATAGAGGAGGAATTGAACCCAGGGCCTAAAAGGGGCAAATCTAGGGAGTGGTTTGGAGTGTCCTGTGAGAGGTGAAGCAGAAATGCAATTCGGACCAAAACAAAAATTGTATACTTCTGATTATGAATTAAGATTTATAGATAGTATACCATAAAATAGGCAGCCTGGTAGAATTAATAATGGTGACTCAATCATGGTCTTGGAGGAAGCGTGGTTTATCCACCTTAACCAACTTCCTTTCTCAACTGATGTGTTTTTAAAGACATACAGACTATAAAAACCTCTTTCCCACCAATGTCTTACCTCCTAGTCCTACATAGCTTCTGCTCAGTCTCTTTTTAATTTCTTTCTTCCACCACTATTGCTTTTCTTGAGTGAACCTTATTTTCTTCTTAGCCTCCTCACATTTCTCCTCCTTGACTCTATATTCTTGTTGAGGATGTAAAAAGGAACAACAACAACAACAGAAATGCTTGTATAACTCATGGTGCTTGACCAGTTTTGAAAACTGTGTTTTTCCCATTTTGGATCTGGCCAGTTAAACTAAATTCAATAGGGGAATGATAAAACGACTTTCACTCTCATAATAAGAATATATTATGTTTGATAAAGGTTAGAAAAACTAAGAAATAAATCTTACTGAAGAAATTCTATTATCGCAGTTTTAAAAATATTTTAAATAGTCATAAATGAATGCCAGTATATCTTGCTTAAAATACATATGCTTGAATTAATTACACTTTAAATTCACCATGAGGCTTATACAACAGCAGGGGTGTCTTAGTCTGCGAGGGCTGCTAAAACAAAATACCACAGACTGGGAGGCTTAAACTACAGACATTTATTTATCACAGTTCTTGAGGCAGGAAATCCAGGATCAGGGCATCAGCACAGTCGAGTTCTGGTAAGAGCCTTTCTCCTGGTTGCAGATGGCCTTGCTCTACCCTCACATGGTGGGAGTGGTGGTGTAAGGGAAGGAAAGAGCTTGTGTTTTCTCTTATAAGGGTACTAATTATCTCCCAAGTATCCCACCTCCAAACACTATCACGTTGGGGATCAGGGTTTCAACATATAAATCTAGTTGCGGGATTTCAACATATATTCAGTCCAAAGCAAGAGTTTATCGTTTTTCTGTGTATCTCCAGTGGTAAGTACAATGTGTAACACATCCAGCTTTCAATTAATTGAATTGAAACCAATCAATATCTCTCACCACTATTTCCCCCACTCCAGTTTTTTTGCTTGCTTTTTAATATATCAGTTTTCTTAAAGTGAAAGGCATCTCTACCAACTCTCTAAATTAGCTTACTGCTTATTCAATGAGTAAAACATCAAAACAAGATGAAAGTAATAATCTTAAGGATTAGTTTTACATAATATCCCAACATTCATCTTTTCTCCTAATTTGATCATTTGTTTATGTGAAATATAACATTCGAAACTGGTGCCATGTTGCCACAAATCTGGAATTCTAGTCTAATCTTTTAGCAGATGGTCTAGTATTTCTGTCTTGAGTTCTACTCTTATGTTGTTCAAGAACCCAGGGACTTCATCTAAAACCAAGCTGAAAAAGAACTGGAGTCTGATCAAGACAGTATTGCTATTGCTTCTCACTGCCGTAAGGTATTGCTCTTAAAGCTTCATCCTGTTCCAATTCAATGACACTTGTCTACTCTGAAATGATGTTCTTGCTTCTTCTGGCCCAGGTCTCTGCAAAGACCACAGTGTTATTCACATTTAGATTTCTAGTTTGGCATCTTCACATTTTCAGTCATTGTCCTACAAAGGACAATGCAACCGGAAATCTTTTGCTGTGCCTGGACTAAGTGAGCTGACAATTGCCAGCTGTTTTCTTTGCTGGTGATATTTATTGATTTTGGGCCTGGGCTGATCAACATTGGCCTGGGTAGAGGGATTTTACACAGGAAAAGAGAAACCAGTGAAATGTTTAACAGTCATGTGAGTTGTGTGATGGATTGGAAATATACAGGAACCCCAAACATATACCCAGCTTTCCCACAAGGGCATTTGCTGAATTCTGGAATGGTACGGGACACTGCAAGACTGAGTCTGATAGGCAGAGTAAAATCTCCTCACATTTTACCAATGCATACAAAACAAACACTACCTAGAAAAAAGGAGTCTGCTTCAAATATACAGGCAGTCATCTCCTTCAAACCATTTACCATATTTCTGAAGTCGTGTGAGTAGGAGGCTAAAGATCTGAGTTTGAAATTATTCAAAGGCAGAACTGAAACTCCAGGGCTGAGGAGATAGACATCTACTGAAAGCCCAGAGGAATCACAACCAAGGAACAGAGCAAAACCATAAGTGGAACGAGTCTTACTAAAACTGCAACCCAATTCCAACACAGCTAAGTCTCTGACTTTCACTCTACTTGTGTATTTTCATCTCTAGGGGGAAATAACTTCAACTGTATTCTCTATAAGCCTTTAACATGAAAGTATGGCATATGATAAAAAATTATGAGAAGAGTAGGAAAATTTGACAAATAATCAAGAAAAAATAAATAACAGAAGAATCATAGATAAGCCAGATATTGGAATCCAGATAAGAATTTTGAAATAACTATTATAGAATAGAGTCATAGATGATAAAATAGAAGAAAAAGTAGACCAAGCGGCTTAAAAGATGCAGAAGTTTAACAGAGAATTGAATCCATAAAAAAGAATCAATGGAAAACCTCAAACTGAAAAAATATAATATTTGAAATCAAGAACTTAATGGATAGTTTAATAGCGGACTGGAGACAGCAGAACAGAGGATTAGTAAATTTAAGGACAGGTCAAGAAAAATACACAAATGAAGCACAGAGAAAAAAATGGAGAGATAGAACAGAGCTTAAAAGGTACATGGGACACAGTGAATGAATGTACCATACGTGTAACTGGAGTCCTAGAAAAAGAGAGAGAAAATGAGGCAGAAACAATATTTGTCAACATAATGGCAAAGAATTTTGCAAAACAAATAAAAGATATAAACCCACAGGTGAGAAAAAAATTAACTCAGAATAGATTGCAGACCTAAATGTAAGTGCTAAAACTACAAAACTCTTAAAAGAAAAAGTACAAGTAAATCTTAGGGTTAGCCAAAGGTTCCTTAGATATGACACCATAAGCAAGTGGGAAAGGAAAAAATAGATAAATTGAAATTTGAAACTTTTGTGTCACAAACAATACCATTGGGAAAGTAAAAAAGACAACCAAGAGAATGAGAGAAATATTTGTGACTCATATAATTAATAAGAAACTCATATACAGAATATGTAAAAAAAATTCTTACAACTCAACTTTTTTAAAAATGGGTAAAGGATTTGAGCAGACATTTCTTGAAAAAATATATACAAATGACTAATAAGTACATGAAAAGATGTTCAAATCATTAGCCATTAGGAAAATGCAGATCGAAACTACAAAAAGATATCATCCAGTAGATGGTTGTAATCAAAATGACAGCAAATGAAGTAGTATAGTGAAGACGTAGAGAAATTGGAACCCCCATATACTGCTGGTGGGAATACAAAATGATGCAGCCCTTTGGGAAATTGCCACACTGTTTAGGAAAACAGTGTGGCAATTTCTCCATATACTAAATATAGTTACTATATGACCCAACAATTCCACTCCTGGGTGGAAAATGAAACCAGAAAAATGAAAACAATGGCCACACACAAACTTGTACACAAATGTTTACAGCAGCATGATTTGTAATAACCAAGGAGTGGGAAACAGCCCAAATGCCCATCAACTGTTAAATGAATAAACAAAAAGTGGTATATCCATACAATGGGATATTATTCGGCAATAAAACAAAATGAAGTACGATACGTACTATAACATGAGTGAACCTTGAAAACAGTATGCCAAATGAAAGATGTTAGTTACAAAAGACCATATATTGTATGATTCCATTTATATGACATGTTCAGAATAGGCAAATTTACAGACAGAAAATAGGTTAGTGGTTACTTAGGACTGGAGTTCGGGGAGGTTGGGGATTGACTACTAACAGGTATGGAATTTCTTTTAGGGAGTATGAAAATGTTCTAAAATTAGATTATAGTGATGGTTGCATAATTGTAGGTATACTAACAAACATTAACTTGTCTACTTTAAATGGGTGAACTATGTAGTTTGTCAATTATATCTCAATAAGGCTGTTTAAAAATGGAAAAGAAGAAAACAACCCCATAACAAGCTCTGAAAAAACAAAAACAAATAAACCATAATAGTCGAACTGTAGAAAAACGCGCAGGATGTAGTGAAGGTGGTAACTTCAAAGACCATTTGGAGCCTTAGGAAGACAGAAAAGTAATGAGTAAAATGTTCAACATAAGGGGGTACATAAATAACCACAGAATAAACCCAGAGTGAAGGTCTCAATGACACCTAATTGTTTTCAACATGGCACTTATGAAGTGAGCTGGGAACATATTAGCACATATATAAAGACTTAAAAATTTTTTTCATTAGTTTGTAGGTTCTAGTGTTGATGAGGTTCAAGGTATGACCAAGGCGGTGTGTGGCAAAGATGTATCGGTAGAATATACCACTGGCGATGAGGAGAGCAGGAAGAATCTAGGGTGTTGGATGGGTCATCTACATAGAGGCTGATGAAAAGAGTTTCGATCTTGTTATACATGAAC